CCATTTCAAAGCATTGAAGTAACGTTTTCTGGGTCGACAAATTCAGTTTTGGCCGAAAGGCACCTCGAGTCCTTGAACAACGATGCGTAATAAATAGCATTGAAACAGTAGCCGTTGCTTAAATATGATATCATATATGCTATGTAATTTTAAATTGATTGCGTGATATTGATAATTAAAATTCCAGATCTCCCACCTGAAAAATGATCGCTTATTCGGCTCATATGAAAACTGATTATTTATGAAACACGCGTGACAATCAAATGCCAGTAAATGGGATTGTATAGTGTTCCGACAATAATATAATAATGACCTTTTCACATAGTAATATGAAGTTAGGAAATAATTTCCATAATTACTACATTCATGATATAAAGTGGATGTTGGGAAAGAAGAAAACAAAAACCATTTAATGTAGGAGATAAAACCACTCGATGGCCTCAAATACGTTCTCACCAAGGTTCACGGCATGCAAAAACGGTGTAGAATGTAGCGGAGAAGAGATATGTGCTCTTGATCAGAATACCGCTTTATATGAGTGTCAACCGAAGATGTCTGTTCCAAATGAGACGTGGGTAATAATGGATGATTCATCTATGCCTCAATGGTATCCACCTACGAATCGAAAAACCTTCGACCAACCGTGTCAACATCCTCCTCTGTCACAAAGCATAGACGAATATTATGGAAATTGTCGGAATGGTTTATTTTGTGATAAATATTTAAATATCTGCATGAAACAATTGGATACGAGCGAAAAATGTGAAACGAATAATCAATGCGTCTCCCAAAAATGTAATGGGGTTTGCACCTCCATTTACTTCAATAGTCATAAGCCGATGGCGATTGTTATAGCTATGTTTGCGTTGTTTGTGGTGGCGGGAATTGTTCTTTTCTTTGTCATCAATATCAAGAGAAAAAGACGGAAAGGTGATTCTTGATTTCTTTAATTAAAGCTACTTGTTTTCTTCGTAATTTTCCATTGATTTTTCTTTTATCGATAGAGGAAAGGATGACAAGTGACGGGCATGACAGAAGTAATGCCACTCAACGGTTAAGCAGCGGAAGTACTTCACACAAAACGACCTCAGTCGTCACTATCGATGGTGAAAATATGATATATGGCCCATACTTTGGCGAACAAAACGTCATCAATCTCAACCAAGAACGTATGGGTTTAATATTTAGCGAACGAACATCAACTATGTCGAACCAGGAATTACACTCCTCCAATGTCTCATCAATAATAGAGAGTTCGGCCCAGAAACAGGAGAATAAATCAGATGTGAAAATAGAAAATAATTCATCTGATAATAGGGATTCGAATGATCAATCAATGTTATTTAAGGATGCGTTTGATGAATTTCCGCCTCCCCCATATAGACGAAGCGAAAAAGCCAGAGAAGTAGTGAAATGAAAATATCATCATAACTTTCATGACATTTTATCAATAAACAGCATAATAATCTCCAGAGTTATCCACTTTATCATTATACAGTATATTTCGATGTTTTAGTGTAAATGTATGTAAATTATTAATCAATTAACAACGAACAACATTAGTATTAATAGCAACATTTTATTTAGAATCGATATATCATAAAATTATGAACACGATGACATACTGTATATACCGATTGAAATAAAATCCCTTCAGTGCTCTATTATATAAAACGAGTAATGGTGAGCGATACATTTATATTGCAAAAGGAAATGCATGCAGTAATACTAAACATTCTTGTTAAGTCGCCTGATCATTTTACACTAATCAAACCTTCTCTTATTCAATCGTTCTTAGAGAACTTTGCTTATTTCCTTTTGTTACCACCATCAAAAATAGCTTTGTTTCTAGATGGAATTATATTTTATTTCATCGAAAATTTACATCCAATAAATTATAGTCACGTGTACGATATTTCTATTACGTTGTAGTAACAATTGGAATGTAACGCGCGTTTTACATATACCATGCAATGAATGTCTCTGGGGAACTTTTAAAAAACTAACGGAGGCAACTACTTCTCATTCTGTTTAACTAAAATTAGATCTAACTTAAATCATATGCCCATTTCACACATTTGTTCAAAATTGATTTTATTATTGAAAAGATTTGAAGCCAACTTAAATTTCATGATTATCGGTACATGATGAATGAGATGAAAGATCGATTCTGCGTCCGTAGATTGGTATTACTTTATATCTCGAAATATTTAAGGTAAATGATGAATGGCTTTGTAAAACCACTAAATCAAAGCTTATCTCATTGATTCACATATAATTATAAATCACGTGGTTACGTGTAATTTTAAAACTACAACCCCGTGATGATGCTCGATCGAAATTGCAATTTTTATTTTTTGTTTCATTTAATTTTTTATTGCATCAATGAAGAAATCTGATTATCATAAAAAAAAAAATATATATTTTTTTTTTTTCATTTTTTTATATTATGATAAAGAATTTTGTACGTCTTCAATATGCATCAATCAATTACTTAGATGAGAAATTATTAGATCTTTATGCAAAGACGAGAAATCTTGAACAACAAGATGAAATTCAATATTAGAATCATTACTTTGTTAACTTAACAATTAGAAAAAAAACATAAAAATTATAAAAAAAAAAAAATTATAAAATTAAAAAACGCTTGCTATTAAATAAGAGATTAAAAGGGTTGTATAGAAATTATCAAAATTCACAGATATCAAAATTATTTTATTTATAAAATATATAAATATAAATTCAAATCAAAAAAAATTTTTTGAATTCATAAAAAAAATAATTTTATAATTCTATTAATACTTGTTTAAAAAATTTATATATTAATTAACTTTAATAATAATTTTTTTATTTTTAATATTTGATTATAGTTAATTATTTAAAAAATTTTGTCAAATTTTTACTTTTTTTTTTATAAATGAATATGCAATGATGCTGATCTTTATTGATACTTGCATAAATGAAAATATCAAGTGTCTTTTACAATTGGAACAATTGCTTGTGTGTATCAATTGTATCTGATGACAGTTCTAATTATAATTAATACTATATTGTTTTGGATAACAACTTACTATTCATCTTAAATCCAACTATAAGAATTATATATCAAAGGTGAATCCAATATGTTGGATGGAGTTTTTATAAAGAGAAATGCCTACCACTAGTTTAAATTATCTAACCTATAACTTGTTTTTCTAAGAGCTTTATGTCTATTCCATAAAGATTAATAAGATTTCTGGATATCTTAATACTTTTTATTTGAACCTTCAAAGAGAATACTTGCTCCTTGTCATTATCTGCAGCTTTGGTAAATCCTTCCCAAAGATTGACTTCTTTTAAACAAGTACCAAATTGGAATAGCTCCAAACTAGGAAATTTTGAGAGAGAATCGAGATGAGATTTATTGAATACGACACATATAGAAGAACCTATACAACCTATATATGAAGAGACTTTATAATGATTATTATGCATCAACTAAATGATTATTACATTACAACATCTTTAACGAGAAATCACAATTTCAATACCTGTTGAATTAGCATATGAAATGATTTTTTATAAGAAACAATATATGATTGATTATAATATCAGATACTATATTAATTTTATTCAACCATCTTTATATAAGATTGAACTGGTATCTTGTGATCTGATTTGTGAAACACTTATGGTCCTGAAAATTGGAATCGTATAGACTCGCATGGACTCGCATACATATAAAAAACATAAGTGGGTTATAACCCACCTATTAAATTTACTATAAGAGCTGAAATCGAATGAAATTGAATACAGAATCGTTAGAATCCTTAGGAATACTAACCACTATACTATGGATCCACAGGTCTTTACTTTTTTTTTTATTTATTTAAAATAATATTTTTATTATTAAATTATAAAAAATATATATTTAAAGTTTTATATAAATTATATTAAAAAAATATTAGCCAAAAACTTTTGTAATACACTATATATTTCCATAATATTTTAACACTCTTATATTAATATATTAAATTTATCAAACAAATATATTGCATATTAATTGGTTAATAAAATTATGTTAAATCCAATTTCCTATAAATAAAAAAAATAAAAATAAATTTTTTAATACAGTAGAATTTTCTTGAACCAAAATTTCTCTTTTTACACACAAGATCTTATGATTTGTTATAATAAAAAGAATTTTTGGAAATAATATTATACTGCAAGTTCAGTAATAAAAAATATTTGATTACATATAAATTTGTATATACTGTATGTAATTTAATTAATAAATATATAACAAGCATTTGTTTTTTACAAAAAATTAAAAATTGTAGGTTTAAAGGTAACAGCACCATATAAGAATCATTAAAAAAGTCATAAACAATTATATTGTAAATGCGATTTATATTGAAAAATTTATAACAAAAAAGAGACAGAAAATTTACAACAATGAATATTATTTCAGAGTTAAGCTCAGATTTATTGTTAGAACACATTAAATAACAAATGAAGAGGATTGAACAATGGATTTCTTTAGAACAAAGAAGATTCTTTATCTTGAGCGAGTTATGGTTAAAATTTCAAAGTCTACACAATAAAAGCTGAATGAATTTTGCTCTGTTTCTTTCCATTACTATAAGTTAAAAGCACAAAGTGAAACAAACAGTCGGTGAATCTGACTAAAATAAACATAATTAGTTTAATATTGCATTTTCCGTAATAGGTAAATTTACTATAATTTTTGTTTGATCTGACCTGCATTGCCCAAATTGAATGATCAAGCCGTAGAAAATTGGAAAATTAAAAAGTCACTTATATTTAATCTGAACCGTTCGTATAATCATTTGAAAAATCTTTTTTATTCGAGTTTATTTGCGAAGCTAAAAGAGTGATATTATCTCTATGTCTACAGCCTTTTTAAATTAAATTATTTTAAGAAAAAATTTTTAACACCCATCGTTTTTGTTGTCTTTGATTAATAATGAAAATTTTTGGTCATCAAAATCATATGATCCATTTTTACATCTGATATTTTTACATGTTTTGTATATCCAATCAAATATTTGAATAAATAAGATAAGCAGCCTAGCATACACATCTAACTGTTCATGTCGTCATCAGCTGCCAGTCGCCTATAGCCTCCAGTGCCACGCGATATTTCTGGACCTTGCTTCACTGCTGCCCACATTGAACTAAAGAATCCACCATTATTCTTCAGCCTCACCACCTTACCACCACTATTTTCCACCCATACGGGTTTATTCCACCATTTCAGCAATAAACTTGAGCATACAACGCTAACACTCGAACATGCCATAGCTGCTCCTGCCATCATAGGATGTAAATGGTATCCCCATGGAAG